TCGGCGGCAGCGGCGGCAGCCCTTATAATATAATGGGATTATTAACTTTTAGAGGGGGTGGGGGGATTAGTGTCTCCAGATCCTGGCCAGATTTAGCAGTGCCAAGCAAGTCAACGTCCATCATTGTGATAGTTTTCTCCGATAGCTGCCCTTGACTCTGACATCACGCGCACACACATGTCATGTGGTTACGGTTTTGGTGTAGTTCTTGAGGAGCACAGGAGAGTGCATGTAAGGGCCTTCATTTGCCCCGACCATCAGCCACAGACATAAGTTCCATCGTAGCTTTCAGGACATTTCAGGGCGACACCTAGGGATTTGCCGAGCTTTGCATACACGAGTCCAGTAAATGAGCGCTGCAGTTTTCAATGTGGCAGAGGCCAAGTTGCTGTGGCTAGCACCATTAGTATCCAGACATCTGAAACTTTTCGAAGATAGCAGACAGGCCACTCAATTCCAGCTAGCCCCCCCCCAATGAACCATGCTCCGCCGGTGTAGCATGCTTTGGAGCTAATCTCTTCATTTTGAAGTTAAACCTTACCATACTACTGTGATGAAGCATCACTATAGTAGTATATGGTAGTATGATGCTACCACAACATGACTTATCATCCGGGGGTGAACTTTGCCAGGCCCGGCGGGCAGACTGCCATGAGCCAGGCACTGCAACCCATATTCTGTACCCAGGAGCGTGTGGTGACGCAAGTTCATAAAGCATCAGCCCACATGTTGGGACAGTCTTCCAGCGGTCTCATTGACAGACCCTCATGGTTCCAATGCTTACTGGCTGCACTGTTCGAACGCGGCCAATGGCGGCTGTTGAGGTTCCTTGCGGCGAGACGCAAGGTATGTGCAATTGCCGTCAACAAATGGCCAGGAGCTCAGACTAGACCCTGAATACATTAGCTTTTCCTTTAAGGGTTGACAGGCAAGGAATGTATCTTTGAGGAGGGGCCCCCGAATTCAACGTTAGCCAGGGGTCTCCTGAATCTCAGGAGCTCAAAGGCTGTGCATTCCCACAGCCGGCCTGCAATCACTGCGTCCGAATCACTTCCTGTATTCCCAGCCGAACCTTCAAGATCGCGCCAGCTTCCTGCGCAAAGCTTATGTTAGGTTATATAGAGATAATGGAAAATTACATGGAAACTACTATAATATCATGGGTATATATTGGAGTTATATAGGGGTTATAGATTAAGATTCCTAATCTGCTGTATGAGCATCACATCGCAAGGCGGAAGCCGGACTGCCATCCTGCATGACCAGCCAGGAACCAAGGATTGGCTGGCGTTTTTGTTGCTTCGCAAGACAATCTGAAAAGATACAATAAAACATAAGAATAGTGGCAATAGTAATAGTGATCATGGTAGTACTGATAAAGGAATAGTCGTAATAATAGCAACCATAGTAATAGTAGTAGTGATAGCAGTGATTGTAGTAATAGTAATGATCGTAATACGGTTAACAATGATAATAATGATAATAATGGTTGGGGTTTCTTCGCATGCCTTTCTGACATTCTTTCCCGATTGGCTGGCGGGGAAGCCGTTTTTTGCCCAATCACAGACTCGAACCTGCCGGAGCTCTCACAAAAGGGCTTTTTCATGGTTGTTCAAAACATCCCCAAGATATCCCAACATGCATTAATTACCAAGCTTAGTCATGTGCGAGATTTGAAAGTTGCTGGGCCAATTGTTGGTGGGTGTATGAAATTAGCTGGCAAGGATACTTGGAACAACGTGCACTTCAGGAATTCACCCTGCCTGCATATAGGACTGTATGACTCATGGTGGTGTATGCCTGCCTGATAATTTGGGTGGCGACATCAAGGGCGCTTCGCACAGACAATTATTTGGAGTTGGAGAGGCCAGCGGAGAATTGCCCAGAGACGTGCACGGCAGTGAGCTCGGCAGATGTCCGAGGCCTCTATGAGGTGCGTGGCGAGGCGGCCAAGGAACTGGGAAGGCTGCCGGCGCAGCACTACATTGTTGGGAGCAGCTGCGCAACAGATTTTTCAGCCCCTGCGAACATTGTACCATGGGTCGATGCGCAAGACCCTGTCAACAAGTCTTTCATTGCCATTTACGTGGACCCAAAGATGGACCACAAGATACACAAGAACGCTGCTGGCACGGTATTTCTCTGTGCAACTCAGAGCCAAAGCTGCGTGTGTAAGCTCACTGGGCACAAGCCCTTAGCAGTGTTTGGTCGCTTTGTATCCATGCTCCGCTCCAAATCTGCTGAGAACTTGATGGACCTTCATCTGTCGATGGAACGCATGTGCCCAGCTGCACTGCCAAATCTCCTTGCCGCAATGATTTTCGTTCTCAGCCTTGTTTTGGCTGCCGTGGTGTCTGAAGCAGCATGCCGGATGTGGCAAGCTTCGTCGACAGGCCCAAGGCACTCTGAGAAGGCAAAGGTGTGGGAAGACAACACGGTTCTGGTAAAAACCCCCATTGGAAGCTTCGTGACCGGTTGTGGCTGGTTTGCTGGCTTTATGATGTCGTTGGCAGCTCTGCAGAGTGGTGCCTTGCTGTTTGTGGAGAAGAACACCGAGCTTGAAACTCCAGTATGGTTTCTCGCTGCCTTTCCAGCCTTCCTTGCGCTCACCGCTGCTGTCCGGTTGATGAACCTGCTGAGCAAGAGACTGTTGGCCAGTGCGCTTCTGGAGCATGGCTGCGTGCTCACAGATGTTGGTCAGTCTCAGACCATGGATGCTCTTCTCATCGCTATGCTCACCATGTATTCATTGGTGATTCTTTGTCTTGTGAGCTCAAGCCTTCGTGCCTTTGCAGTTACGCTTACCGCTCTGGCTGGCCCATCTTGGGCATTGCTGAAGGCTATCAACGTGGCCAGAGAAACTGAGATCATGCTCAACTATGTGGAAACAAACCTGAAGCATTTCGCCAAAGACAGCTTGCCCAAGATTCAAATCATTCCCTGTCATTCGCTTGCTAGAGCAGGTCGCAGGGGTCAAGATCTTTGTGACCTGGCGTCCGAACCTGCAGTCGAGGGAGACAAGAGTCTGGACATGACGCTCAGCGACCTTTCGTGGCAACGATGGAGCATCTATCACCTGACAGGATCTCGAGCCGGCTTCTTGGTGCTACCGGGCTTTGCGGCGCTTGTTGCCACGTCGCTCTTTATCTCCAGCATGCACCTGGCAAACTACGCTTGTGCTGGTGGGGAATTGTCGGATCTACAGTTACCCAGCTCATTTCGTGCACTGCGTTTTACAGAGTTCCAAGACAAGTATGAGGTCGTTATTGACAGGTCATTTAGACAGGCGGCAATTGCAGCATCTTCACCTGCATCTGCGACAAGACACATTAATTTCACCCAGCCTGTGGCTTCAGCGGACATTTCCCCAAGCTTCAAGATTCACCAAGTAAATGACAGCACCAGTACCGCCCTGGAAGAGGCCCAGCTATCCAACCATTTGGTCCCACGAGTTGCGAGGATCGGTGTTAAGGGTCTGCGGCCCTCGCTGCCAGCAGTGGACTACCAAGTACAGTTCTCCCCTCTGATGACATTGCCCGTGCTCGTCAGCATCGCTGCAGGGGATTTCGCTACCCATGTGGCGTGGTCCACCTTGCCTGGATCCGTTCTCAGCTTGCCGCAAGGAACGAGCGACCTCGACGTGCAGGTGAGTCTAGCAGACTTCGTTCTGGGACTGCCAGTGCAACTTCACGACAACGTCTCAGATGCTGTGCTCTGGACAGCTTTTGACCCTCGGTCTGATGCTGATGAGGGGACATGTTCGAGACAGTGCAAGGAGCGCCTGGATTGTTTTGCAAATTACCTTGGCCATAATGGATGCTTTTTCGCGTTGGGGAATCACAAGGTTCTTGAATCAGGCCGAGCAACAGGTTGGCACTCGTTACGCACGAGCAACCGGAAGCTAAGTGGCCACATTTCTGGATGTGTGGTTAATGACACGGATTCCAGGATTCTGTCCACGTGCGGCAAGCCCGTTTCTCCTGAAAACACAGTGCTCCATTTTGGCAAAATTCGCCCAGACTGGCGCTCAAAGTCGGCAACTCTAAGTCTTGCTTTGCAGCTGGAAGTTGGAGGTCAGAGATTCGATTCTGAGGTAGAGCAGGTTGTCTTGCATCAAGGTTCACCTGCTGCCATTGATGCCATTGGCGTCGTTCTCGGCGAGTTAAGCGGAAGCAATCAAACTGTCGAGGTCAGAAGCAGCACCTTTGTGGACGGTCTAGGCCAAATCACCATCAAGCTCTTTCCATATGACCCTTTGAATTACACGAGCATGCGAGTTTTGCTGATGCCCCTGTTGCCCGATCGGGCTTTCAAAGTACAGTGGTCTTTCGTCCCTGAGGTCATGGAAGGGGACCTGGCATTTGTTAGAGCCAGCCCCAGGTGCCAAGAAAGTGCCCTAGTCAGGGCTCGGTACGAAGTTTGCGGGGCCAAAGGAGGCATCCCCGACAGACCTGTTGCATTGCCGTTTGCGCCCTGGACAGGACATCTGGGCAAGTTTGTGATCTACACAGTTACCCCACGGGACACCAAGTGGATGTGGCCGCAATCCAAGCGCTACACTCCCACCTTTACCTTTGCTGGTGTGGACAGGCTGATGGCTTGGGCGGCAGAGGCCCACGATTGCCATGTGCTGGACAGAATTCAGGCGATGTTGGAAATAGTATCCCAACCAGTGCCACAGTCCACGTCAGAAGCAAATTGGTTTGGGGTGAAGATTGATGATTCGGCTATAGTTGAATTGGTGAGCTCAGCGGATGCTTTGTGCCACTTGATCAAGAAGGATTGCACGGATGTATTTTGCGAGGGTATCCGCATGAGCTTACACGTGACAGAACTTGATCCACCCTTGCTCTCGCCGGAAGGTTTCGTTAAGGTGATCATGTGCCTCCACAATTTCAATCGCACTGGTTGCAACGAAGATTTCAGATGGACTTATCATGACAACACACTGCAGCTTGAAGATCACCCAACTCAGATTCCTCTCCATACCTTTCTGGCAGTTATGTCGCAGCCAGACGAATTCGATTTCCTTGGAACAGTGTACTCCTCGTTGAACAGCACAGAGTCCAGCCAATTTGCGCTCGACTCAGCACGAGAAGTTTGGAGCCTGCAAACTCCGTCCGCTGGCTTAGTGGCGAGGTTAGCCAAGCTGAACAATGATATGCCCACGTGGCTGCTTGAGAAGCTGATTTCTTCTGACGTTGGCGCTTTGGCTCTTAATGCCGCAGAGTTGCCCACCTACAAGGCAACATTTGCTGGGGTGACCAGATTGAAAGCAGCACTGCACAAGGCTTCTGAGCTGAGCAACATTGCGGTGGCAGTGCAGTTGGCAGAGGGTACGGCACACCTCACTGTTAGCTGCAGTTGCTGGGCTGCGGGTAAGGAAATTATAGGAACTTAAACTAAGTCGCTATAGTAAGGAAGCCATATAATTCACCAAATACCCATAACGTGGTAACTGAAGTTAAGTTCTTTAACAGCAGCCCAGGTTACTGTCCAAGTTTTGACCTGGTGGCATCACAGTACAGCTGGCTTCAGCACTGCAGAAACCTTCAGACGTTGGACCTCTATGACTTCATCCTACCAAACTTGAGCGACAGCATTTTGCAGAACGTCAGTTCCTTAGAAAGATGCACGCTTCAGACCAACACCATTCCGACGTTTCCCAGTGAGCTGCTCAGATCTTTTGTGAGCTTGAAGGCCTTAATGCTGAAGCATAATGAAATGCAAAACCTTGCAAATGGAGCCTTTGAAGGCCTTACACGCTTGCAGAGCTTGTTGCTGTCCAGCAATGGCATCAGAAAACTGGAGGCAGGTACCTTCCAAGGCCTTACGTCGTTGAGGGAGTTGGATGTGGCGGAGTTGCATCTGTCTGAGATATCGGACGATGCTTTCAGCTGCATCCCGTCCCTCGAGTCGTTGACTCTGGCGTGTGTGCAGACATCGAAAGGATTTGCTGTCACAGCATCCAGTAGGCTGCCACTCGCAAGCCTGCCTAAGGCTATTTTCAGCAACCTTACCAGCTTGAAGAACTTACACCTGGGTTGCACCTCCATTACGAGCTTAAGTGAAGATGTGTTTGAGCACCTGAAGCTGCTGGAGGAACTGAACTTGAAAGACAACAACCTGAAGAACCTGTCTGGGAAGATCTTCAGCAACCTGCGCCATTTGAAGTCTTTGAGCCTGGCCGCCAATCGTGTCGATCAGCTTCCCAGCAATCTCTTCCATGGCCTTGGTTCCCTGGAGGAGTTAAACCTGGAAAGCATGGGCCTGGAGCAGTTGCCTGATGGCATCTTCGCGGATCTCAAGTCCCTGCGGATCTTGCGCCTCTCTAGGAATGATCTCTCATCCTTGCCACGCAGGCTCTTCAAGAATCTGGATTCTTGTTAAGGAACTTCACTTAAGTCACCATAATATGGTACATAATAAATATCAGGTGTCCTGAAAGTTGTAATTTAAGTTCCTGAACCGCAACCCAGGAATCTGACCAAGCTCGAGGTGCTAGAAGTGCGCAGGAACTCCATTAGGTCCCTCCCGGCAGATGTCTTCGACGATTTGAGCTCCCTGAAAGTGGTAGACTTGTTTGCGGGGACACATGTGAGCGCATACAGGAGCATCCAGGACACTGGGTTTCTATTTAATTAAAAATTTTTCGTTTCCATTTGATTCTCCATTATAGGGTGATATTATAACCTAAATTGAGATCCTAACAGCATCCCAGGAGAATAAGCCGACAGCATGCCGGAAGCCACATGTCTCCTGCATCATTGGCTGACTGTGTGACGAGGAAGCCAAAAGAACTTTCCATCAGTGAGCGCATATAGTCACCCTTAAGTGGTCAGAATGTGGAATTGCCCAGTATTATAGTAAGACCCCCAAATATCCCATATTCTATCTAGTTTAGGGGGACTATAGTTCATGGGGCATTGTGCAGCTGTAGGGGGACTACAGTCCATTGGGCGTTATGTAGCTCATTGCCCGCGGCAGTAGATGCGCTCTGTGCTGTGCAGGTGTGAGCTCGCGTACCTTAGGCAGGGTGGTTGTCATGCTGTGTCCGCCAAGGCTTGCAAAAAAGATGCTGACCATCCTTGGCATAATGTGCCTTCTGTTGAGGCGAGGATTGCCATGAGTGCTGGGAAGCAGAGTAGAGTCGAACCAACCTGCCGCATGTATTCCCTAGGTTGAATGAACGTGCAGTATTAGGAACCCTTTGCAAATACCCTGCGAAAGAGGCAGCTCATGTTTCGTGCAAGCCCGGATGCGTAGTAAAGGCTCTTGATATGTGCGCCAACTCATTCCTGTCGTGACAACCTGGGATAACCACGCTATAACCCCTACCTAAACCCTATATGAACCCTACATAAACCCTATATACTCCCTGTATAGTATCGTTACTATCCAATTGCGCAGGTGGGCAAAAGAGGCAAACTGACAAAATCCCGTGCGAGGCAAGGAAGCATTTTTAAGCCGTACATTGGTGTTTCCCAAAATTTGGGGGTAATTTTTTTAGGGGTCCCTAGTATGCAAAGGATTGTAGATATTACTGTCTAGATTCGGGTGCCCTTGGTTTGGCAAACTGCCACATGTCCAACATCATATGGGTGGTTGTCAAAATTATGGTCCCCTTTTGGGTCCCTATTATAGTACGGCACCTTATATTTAGGGTACCCAAAAAGGGACCATAATTTTGACAACCACCCATATTAGGGCTGTCATGAACTGAGGGGCGAGCTCGTAGCTTCGTAATGATCAAATTTCAACAGTTTGGGGCTCGGCATGATGGCTGTCTTTGGCGATGACATCTTTGCGCATTGGATTTCGAATCCAATGAAGCTGCACATGTTCGCCTTTGTTTGTGGCAGATTTTGACGACGTTCGCTGCTTGGCCTTTGTTGGTGCTTCGCGCCAGTGCGGACTTTGCTTGGAAGTGAGTCCCGCTTGTATGCAATCAACAGATCGATCGTAAGGCAGCCAAAGCCAGGTTTTTCTGTGTGACAGCCAGTCGGGGCCAGTCGCATCGGTTCCAACAATCCGGAAAATTAGACACACCGCAGAGCATCAGGATGATGGGAACGGAGCTTGCTTCCTCAGGACGCAGAGCCACAAATCCCAGCCTGGAGGAAACCTGGACGTGGGTACCCTTTATCTGAAAATTACGACGGATGGGGTGACTGACCAGTGTTAAGACGGTAGCTCTTCCTCATTTAGATTACGAACCCAGTGTATGCTTCTTGCTCATGATGGATGGTCCAGCAGTTGGACATCTTGCAACGATTGCTGCGCAGCTTGAACTACAAGCATGGCAATTCAAATCTTGTGATTCGTGCACTGGTCTGGTGAGAGTCTGGAGCCAAGCTGCCTCCTGCTATGAGCTGCCAGGCCGACACAAAAAGCGAAGTGAGCATCTTCGCATGCGAGAGCCCCAGGATTTTCAACTGAGATGGTGATCTACTCATTGCAAAGGCATAGACTGACCCTGAGGTTGTAGCTTTCAAACTTCGTCATCTTGCTGACTCGCAATCTTGCAAAACGCAAGATGGCACAACGCCAAGGGTGCTGTAGTACCAGCTTTGAAGTGCAGACCTTCTCAGTGCATAATCTGAGAGGCATCAAGGTCCTTTGTGAACAGAACCCCGTCAAGACTGCTTCTTATGGCAGTCTCGCTGTGCTGTACTACACGTCGGACCTTCCCACATGCCCTGCAGCATATTGGTAGTTTCCCAAAATGGGGGGGAACCAATACAGACCCCAAAGTACTATAAGCCTCATCATTGGGACCCCCGAAAAGGTACCCACGATTTTGGGAAACCCCATGTGTCGTTGAGCACCTAGCTCAATTTTGGCACGCCGAAAATCGTCTGGGGTCCGTGGTGATGACTTGGCCAACTTCTCAGAGCAGCAGTAGTGTACCTGGCTTCAAACAGACGCCTGCATGACAGCATCCCTGGCAGCAGAGTTGTAATATATTTTTTGCTCCTGTTCTTATTGTTATGACAATCATTAGTATTATGAGTATTCGTATTGATTTTCAGAAGCTGGCGGAGTGTTGTGGCTTGCGCACAGATGGATTTTGGCCCACTCTATCTACTGAAGCAAGCCACTAGTCACTGGTCACATGACATTGGAGTGTCAGGCTGCAAATGCATTTGAAATGAGTCCAAAACATGGTAGCATGCAGTCCAAGTGACCGGTGCCGCTAGTTTCCCAAACGGGGGGACCCCAATATGGACTCTATGGACCCCAAGGTATTATCCTCCTTATTATGGGGAGCCCCCGAAGGTACCCCTGATTAATTTTGTCAAATCCTCATTTGGGTGGTAGAGTGTCGAATGGGGTTTGAGCTTCCTCGCGGCTCAAGCTATCGAGATCCTCGCATATCCCAGCATCCTAGCGCCAATGGCTGCGCCATTCCTGGTCCTTGGCTTCTTCCTGCCTGGAGCTGTTGCATCGTTCCCGTTTCCTGCACCTCATCCTTGTCTTAGTGACACTTCGCATCAATTGCTTAGGTTTGCCAGGGGATCCGCAGCGTGTCAGACTTCCAGTGGACACAAACCTGTTCGTATTCTTTGTTGCTAACCACCGAAACCGCAAACGTGGTGGCATTGTTGTCCAGAGGTCGTGCAGGAACACAACCTAGGATGAGTTCGATGACACTTTCCACTGCGACACATGCAGTGGCGTCGGCGCTGCCCAGTGCAACAGCTCGGATTGCAAAACTCGGTGTCTGAGCGAAGGGAAGCAGTGCTTCAAGCCGAACCGCTTCAAGCTGGGCTGTTGCTGCGACCCCTCCAGAGTCCCCAACCCGGACATGTACAAATGCCGAACGGGCGGCAAGCACAGTGGAGACTGCCTTTGGGAATGTTGCAAAGCGGTTCAGCATGGAGATCAGAAAGTGTATTCGACAATCTGCGGCGACGGTTGTTGCGCTCCCAGCACACAGTGCGGGTCAAGTTGGAAGCTGGCACTGCAGAAGAAGGCCCCGAAGCGGCACCCATGTTGTCTTGAAAAGGGAGCCACGCAGGATCACCAAAATGGGGCGCGCTGCTGCTTGCACGGGGACGGTGTAAACTGCTCGTCGCCTGGCCAAGATGCGCCTTGCTGCTTGCTGTTGAGTACCAAGAGCAGCCACAACAAGAATCGAAGCCACGATCCGCACGCAGTCTGCCAGAGGAACTCGTGTGTCGCCTATGTTCCCTGTGCTCCTGGCGTTGAAAGGGGCGTGCTGTGCAGCTCACCAGAGCAGACAGTGTGCTGCTTGTGGGAGGGTAGGCCGTCTGTACATGATCCATGCCAGCACAGTGCTGCCGATTGCAGCACGCACTACACGCCTTGCGGCGCGGCAGACCGGCTGGGCATAGATTGTGCATCACACAGCGGCAGGAGCGTCTGCTGCCTTCCCGCTGGCAAGGAAGCCGGATCGTGTCGCCAGTCCGACTGCGCGGCATACCATGCGGAGCAGACGCGAATGTTCGTCTTGGCTGCGGCCTTATCCATTGTAGTGATCGGACTCCTCCTTGTGTTGTGCCGGCGTTGCTACAAGCGCCTGCGCACCTGCTACGGGAGATTCAAGGAGCGCGTGGACAACTTGGTCGCGCCACTGCTTCTTCCAAGTGGTGATGTTGCGTCGGCGAGCCCACTGATTGACCACCCGTACCGCGTGCTGCTCGCGATTTCATGTCAGTCCTACCATGACAGTGAGCACTACCCACCACTCAAGACGCCCCATGCAGATGCAGAGGTCATATCACAGGAGTGCCATAGCATGCGCTACGACGAGGTGGACGTGTTTTGACAAAAGCCCATTCAGCATAATCGGAGGCATATTCAGGTTAATGTGTAATCATCCACACAGCCTTTGTACCCCAACATGTAACATGTTTTTTTTAGGATAGCCCGGTTAAAATATGAGCCCGAAAATCTGACGGCGTTGGATCATAATTTTGCCTAATCTGGAAACATTCAAAAAACGTGGTGTCTGAAGACTCCTGGGCGCCGGATTTTAGGACCTACCACATTGTTGAAAGCCCCGGGAGTCTGATTTCAGGCATCATTTTCCGATTGTTTTCATGTGTTCCCACACGTGTTTTTCATTTTTGTTAAGCGCTCTTTGTGGGGTTCTTTATTTTCCAATTTTCATCTTTAATCCTTTTCAGAAATGTGGGGAAACATGGAAAAGACATGGAAGTATTGTCGGGGAACAAAAGCATGGAAACCAATATGGATGCAAACGCCTGAGGCATAAGAACTGCAAGTCTTTGGGCCTTCACATTTTCCGCGTTTTCCACATCCTCGGCTCATGTTTCCAGATCCAAATTAACCTAGGTTTCCTAGCCGTAGCTGGGGAACCTACGGACTAGCATTGAGGGATTTTTGGCAGAAGCGCTTGTAGCCAACACCTTTGCTATACGCAAAAGTTGGCATAGCAGCTACATACAAAGGCAAGCGTTACAACTTGCGATTTGCAATGAAGGCAGTCCGTTCTCAACACAGTCAGGAGCAACCACTCCATTGTTGCTTTGTATTTAACTAGGTATTTACTCGAAATCCCAACATATCATGTGTACCTTCGGTGATCCCTAAAGTTACTGCAACCTCTGGGAGGTGCTTCTGGTTCAGGCCTCGAGCCGAGCAGACATCGACAATGGCTTCCGCTCCGCCGTGCAAAAGGTGGCTGGCAAAACCAAGGCCTCGGATTTGCTTCAAGCACAACCCTAAACCCTAAACCCCTAAACCCTAAACCCTTGACCCCAAACCCTGTTCCTCATCAGTGCATTTCAAAGTGTACAAGGCAGAACGAAGGCTATGTAAACTGCGACTGTCCAAGAAGTGCATAGCGGCCATCTTTCTGTGGGCCCTAGAGTAGACCCCAGAGGCCTTGTTGCTGATCTCCTACTCCGGCCACGCCGTGGAGGTGGACGGCAGGATGATGTGGGCCCCAGAGAATGCTCGGCATGGTGACATGACAACCCACTTTGACGCCAGTTGCGTGTGCCGCGACCTTATGGAGGTGCACCTCAACGATGGCGCGGGTTTAAAACAAAAGGGCTTGAAATAAGTCAGAGTTGACCAACATGCCAGCCCATGAAGTCAGAGGCCAGCCCAGAGGCTTCCTGAAATTCGAACGCCCCAGGTAACCGTGGCATAGCGCGTTTCGGAGCTACCCAGCCTGCGAAGAACCTTTTTGTGGTCCTGCTGGCAGACTGCTGCCGTGAACCAAGCACTGGGAATCACTGTGACCCCCTATCGGGCTCGGTCACCCGCAGACGGCGTGATGACCAGGGTGGGTTGTATGTCATCTACTCCTGCGGTCCAGGGCTGCGCGCGGGTGATGAGTCTGGGCCCTTCACTGGCCACAGTCCTTTTGTGCAGTGTATCCAGGAGCCTCTGACCCTGTAAAATGGCATGTTCTTGATTGTCTCCAAGATGCAGCTGTAGCCGGTAAGCACTGCGAAAAATGCACTGGTCGCTGATATGGTTGTGTTCGAACACGGGGCTAATGATATTAATGCCAGCGAACTGAAGCTCATTTCTGACCTCTAAGCACTGAACTTCAGTTTAACTCCAGGAGCAGCTGCGCTTCCCACAGCGGGTAAGCGTCTTTGCGGACCACGTGGATGCCGGGCTGCGAAGGGAGACTCAAGGGAGGCCAGAAGCCGAAGGATTTGGGATTGTAGCCATGTCTTGTAGGCGTATGCTCTGTGGACGTTAGCGTGCAGTGTAACAGCTTGACTTCCATGAAAACAAGGGCCGCAGAAAGTAGTAAGTAGTTCTGACCCTCTGACCAACGCTCTCCGTGATTGGACTCTTGCTTTCATAAACGAATGCACCCACCATTTGGTTTCATTGGTAGAGGCAGTCGATTTGGCACCTCGAATGTGGCGGCAGCGGCGGCAGCTTTCGTGGCTTGTTTGCATGTGGGTGGTTGTCAAAATTATGGTCTGCCCGGGTCAATGAGGATCATAGGGATGGTCAAGGGATCTGGTGTGTATTACATCGGTCAGGTAATTAATGGGCATGCATCATAGGATCTGGACTTGCATCTTGGTAAGGACGTCTCCAGTGGTGAGTAGGTTTCTGTGATTCTGCGCAGCTGTAGCTGTAGTAGAACGATCCCTGTCTTGCAGAACCTAGTTCAAAGAAGAAAAGTAGGTTGGCACAAGCCCTAGCGAAACTTACCGGGGGTTAGTAGGGCAGAAGCATGAATAAGGGAATATATCCCTACACTATCCCAACATGATATGGAACACATTCGCTAACTCCCTGCGCACTCCCAGTGATGAAAAGTCACGAGTTCAAATTAGTTGAGTGTGGAATCTTGAAGCTGGTGGACTACCCTCTTGGCTAACGTTCCTACAAGAAGCTCGTTGACTAATGATATAATTATCATCGTTTGTAATCGGGTTTTATTGTATAGTAGATTATAGTACCAATTATACTATTATAATCCGTTAGCCAGAACTTTCAGGTAGGTCCTTGTCATTGGGCATGTTCCCACCAAGGCAGCGTTTCCCTCGCAACCGTCGGGACTTGTGGAAGGTCTCGCAGCGGGAGTCTGGTCTTTCCACTGTTTTTTTTTTTTTTTTGTTTTCAGGCACTTTGTGTTCAATGACTTTCCCAGCTAATATATATGGTAGTATATATAATAGATAGGTATATTGTTGAAGCAGTAGAGGGACTTCGGCTTGCTTGCTCAAGTAAGCCCGGTTCTTGTTCGGATGCCGTTCCGGGGCGCTGTGACGGATGGTTTAACTGTGCAGTTTCGGGTTTAGCATTTCGGGTTTAGGTAACTGGAACAGAAGTGGCTCGCATATCCTTTGGTCTACAGCAGCCCGGTATTGTTCTTAAGTCGAAAAGGCAGTTTTCTTGCTTCAGCCCGAGTTGCGGGGCACCTGTTTACTTCTGGTTGGAGTGCTCTTTGTACCCCAAACCAGTAGGACCCAACACGACATTGCAAATAAACCTCAGAGGATCATTTACTCAATCTGTCTCCCAAATTTAGGCCATCCAGGATAACAGAGAGCATACCTGTGGAAGTTCCATAAAAACAAAAATCAGGTTGTCCATCACAGCGGTGCAACCATTATGCACACCAAAAAGGAACATGTCAGGGCGTACCTGTACGGACCCCATTCGTGGACCCCAGCTTACAAATTTATGGGGTCTCCGAGAACGAGGGGTACATAGGGGTACCATATTGGGGGTCCCGAATTTCCGAAAGGATTCTAGTATTTTGGGTTCTATATTGGGGTCCTCCTGCATCTGACACGACTAGGGCAAAAGAGGCCAGGGTTAAATGATGTATATCTAGGTAAGGAAAATTCACCCCAGCTGCAACCACGTGATATCTTATATTGCCGAAGAATGATGACCATCCTAGACAAGAGAGGTCTTTTGCAGTATGCCTACCTAAATGTATATATTCTTTTTTAGTACTCTGCTTGCTGGCCAAGGAGTGTGTTGTCCTTGCTGACTGAGACAAGCCAGCCTGAAGTGACGCGCACGAGGGCCCCAGAAGGGGTTTAGGGTTTAGGGTTTAAGGTTTAGGTGTGTACTTGGGAACTAAAGGCCGGGAATATCTGAGGGTTCCGACCAAATCCTCAGGAAGCTTTGGGAACCCTGAGCTATGTTCCTGGCTTTGGGTCCTCCAGGTAGTTCGGGGCGGAGCTCACTAAAGTTGCAAAAGCCGGCAGTGTTGGGCTGATATGAGGGGCTGTCAAAAATGTGGTCCTTTTTGTGGGCTCCCATTGTGGTATAGCTCCTAAGCTATGGGGTGCCCAAAAAAGTTCCAGGAGGACTGCCTGTTCCAAGGTCCCGTCATTCTCATCTTTTCCAGCTACAGCTTTCATTCTTGTGCGCCATTTGCTTTAGTTGGAGCCTAGCTCCTTGCGCATGACATCCGCTGTGCAGGTTGCGGATGAACCCATTTAAAGGCGCACGAGAAGTTACTTCCTGTTTCCGGCTCCAGCAAGCTGTAGTACGGCTGGGCTGGAACAGGCATACCCCTACAACAGGGGACTGCGCAGATCTAGACAGTGAGTCACTCACAAGTTGTGACCAGAAAATCTTGCATTCGCAGTCACGTAATCTCGTAGGCTCTGCAGCGTGTCTCATCCTGTTCGGATAAACGTGCTGAGCTTAAGTGGGGTCGGCCTTTCCAACACAACAGAGGCCTGCGCTATCACCCTCCTTAAGCAGTTATGAAACACCTCTTCGAGCACATTACTGCAAGCAAGCGTCAGATCTGGTACAGCTCCTTGCCTATACAGACCCCAAAGACACCGCTCTTTTTAAGTAGAGCAGTTGGCTAAGTTAGAGTTTCCAGAAGCCATATTTGCCCAAAATAGGGGACCCCAATCTAGACCCCTAAAAGTTATAATCCTTATTCTGGGGACCCTAAACCCTAAACCCTATTTTTGGGAATCTCCCCCCCATTTTGGGGCGCATGTGATGCGTTTGCTCTCCTTTCTCCTCTCCCTTTGTCTCCCCTCTTCTCCCATATGAGTTATAGTCAGTCTAAACTCCTTACAAGGGGTTGTAGATGACTAGATTATATGGTGCCTATGTTAGGTTATACTGGGGGATAATCGGCGTATAGACACTGGCTCGTATTACAAGAATAGATGTCAACGTGGCTTGGAATCTCCTTCCGCAAATTTTGTTTAAAGAATTAGATCATTTTCGCCGCTCATGCCGTCCGCAGTCGCGGGCGATTTTCCGGCGGCATGCCCAGCTTTGTCTTGCACCAGCTGGAGAAGCTCCCTGAGGCAGGAGCACATGCTTACAAAAGTTTACCGTCTGTTTGTGTACGATTTCGCATGCAAATTCTACCGCCACCATCATCATTGCTTTATGGCGATTAATTACTATCTATCTTGTATATACATACTTTACTCGGACCATTACATCGCTTGGATTCTTTGGGGTATGAGTACCTCCCCCCGCTGTGCAGCGCTAGCTACATCTCAGTTCCACTGCAGGTTCAAAATAGGGCTGGGTCTGGGTTGTTCATGCACGAATTCCCCGGTTTTTTATGGGGTTTACAAGAGATTCAGGTGGTGACGTGAGTGGTAGTCATGGAATTCGTGCGTCAGCTACAACAGTGTAGGCCTTAAAAGGATCAATGTTAGAAGGGTGTCGGCCTGCACGCAACATACCTCTGACATCCTGCGACTGTTGGCACTGTTGAGAGGTTAGGCTGGAGGGTTGGGATGGTGTGTAACACACTTTGACCCTCAATTCCTCCTTTCACCCTACTGATGTATCGCTTCCGTTCCCGCAGCTTGGGTCAAATCGTGCACTCAAACTCTGATCCGACAGGGAACTTCCAGCATTGGGTGCTTGGAGAATGGCACGTTGATCACTGGCTCCAAGAAGGGAGTCCAGGCCGAGAAATTACAAAAAATGGGATTCTGGGGAAGTCAATGTACACTTTAGGGGGTGACCGCGAATTTGTACGTAGGGAACTTGTTCTCAGATCCCCGGAAGAAGCTGCCCATGTTCACCGAGAAAGCTGTCCTGTCAGCCATGCAGCTTCCTCCTTGATTCACACCATAGTTTTCCACAATCATGAAGAGTTCAAGCACAGAGATTCAAGGAAGTGCCAAGTGTCCATGCCAGTGCGTCTTCACCCTCCCATCTTGCTGCGCAGCAATCCGAGCTGTTTTCAAAAATATAGACCGCTTTTGGTACGGCACCTAATATGTAGGGGTACCAAAATGGGACCCGCCCTAATTTTGCAAGTTAAGGGCAAGAGCTATTGAGCGTAAGCACATTCTGACCCCCGTGAAGCTGCATCCTGTAGGCTTCGAAAAAAAACATTACCCTGAGGCCGCCCTGAGCACTGAATTTCAGGGCCCTCTGAGGAAGATTGAAAGGCTGAACAGGCTCTTTTGTGAACTGCCGTGTCTAAACACGCAAAGTCTAAACACGCATGCTGCCGCCAAAAGATTCGTCTTCATGCGTATCCTGTTGTAGTGCCATCTGCCAGGCTTGGTCAGCACCGTCAAAGGGTTCAATATCCGAACTGGCTGAGATCGAGTGTGAGGCCGTGAGGATATTTCAAAAATGCTTCAGCGCAGCATTCTGAGGTTCAGGGCTTCAGGTTCTTTAGGTATGGATTGAATACTGCCTCCACTCATCAACAGTTTAATACATGTATATATATATAGATAGCCTTAATATGATGCAGGAACCAAGGTATGGAGCATTATGGACCAGGGGCTGGTGAGTTGGGGCTTGTTGCCATGGATTGGTGGCATGCAGGCTTATGCAACACGGTCCAAAGTGCGAGCTGTATGAAGTGCTGCTTATGTTGGGGTTAGATGTTGGGATAATGGAAAAGAGATGGGAACGACTATATTATATAAGGTTATATAGGGGCCATATTAAGAATTAACGAAGGCCGTAGACGTGGGCGGCGGTTGCCGTACCCAAGTTATAGCACAGGCTTAACTACGGCTGAAACCACATCTTCGTTTCTTGCATGCTCCTCAAAACAAGCTGTGGCTTCATGTTCGAGTTTGCCAGAATCATTGTCTTGGAAGCAGCCTTGTTAATAGAGAGTGGCGCAAGCCCCCCAACTGGCCCTGTGTGTAGTCATCTGTCCGGCGGCAAGGCCACATGCTTGGCAGGGCGTGTGGCTGAGTTTATGAGTTGCAAAGCCCTGCTCTGGCTTCAGTGTGCTTGCATGGCCATGGCGAGCGACGAGGG